TGCTGCCGCTTGAGGTGGCGGCCCAGGCTGGAGCGCGAGGAGAAGCGCAGCTCGCACACGAGGCAGCAGTAGGGCTTCTCGCCGGTGTGCACGACCTGCGCGGGAGAGAGCGGAGCGTGCGCGCGCGTCCGCCACCCACCCGCTCCGGGCACCCCCCCACCGAGCGGGCGTGCGGCAGCCAGGGCTGCTCCTTCGAGCGGCTCAGGCTGGCTGGCACCCTGCCCGTGCCCAAAAAGACCTGTGCTTTCCACCTGCGGACCCCTGTCCCTCTCCCAGTACTGGCACTGAACCCAGGGCACTCTTAGAGCTACATCCGCAGCCCTTGTCTGTCTGTCTATCATCTACTGGAGACAGGGACTGGCTAAGTCACTCGTTGCCCTGACTGGGCTCAACCTTTGGATCCTCCTGCCTCAGCCTCCCGATCCCTGGAAGCGCATGTCCTGTTCGCTGGGCCCAGTTCCGCAGCCTTTCTCAGAGGCAGCATCCCTGAGCGCCCTGACCCTCACCCTCAGCCTCTCCGCCGCAGTCAAGGCTTACGCAGCCCGCTGGTCAGTGGCTGTCCCCTCACTTCGGAAAGTGGCGGGCCTGTGCCTGTTTTGTCCTCGGTCTTTTTCCAAGAAAGCCTGACAATCGGTAGGTGCCCTTTAAGTGGTTCTGTGTGTTATAACCTGGGCATCTGGGCATGGACAGGGCGGGGCCGCAGCCTGTGACCATCACAAGGGTCGAGGGGCTCCCACGCCACTCGCCCGCAGGGGCAGTGCAGGATGCGGACACTGCAGTGCGGGAAGCCTGAGGTGCTCGCAGCACGATGCCCACACGCAGCCAGGCCCTGCGGCTCGGCTCCCTCACACATGCGCGGTGCCTGTGCTCCCTCAACGCACCGCGCTCCTCCCACCCAGGCCTTTGCACTGGCCGTGCTGTCTGGACACTGTTCCACTCGGACTCCCTCTCCTCCTCCTGGTCTGGCTCAGCGTTCTTGTCTGAAATCGTGTGTGTATCATCCACCTGGCTCCTACCATGTCCAAACGGTGCAATTACCTGCAGCCCGCTGGTGCTGTACGTGAGACAAGCCCTTCTGCAGCAGGTCAAGGCAGAGACCCACGCAGAGGAGCCGCAGGTGCGGTACGTCCAGGCCCACCGGCGGGGGGCGGGGCGAGCTCACTGCACATGCGCGCCTGCTGGGCCGGAGGGGGGGGGCGGGACCCGGAGGGTGGGACTCACCTGGTGGTGCAGCAGGCCGGTGGAGTCCCGGAAGCCCTTGGGGCAGGCGGAGCAGCGGTAGGGCCGCTCGCCCGTGTGCGAGCGCAGGTGGTTGGCAAGGTTGAAGCTGTGCTTGAAGCCCTTGCCGCAGCGCGGACACGCGTGGGGCTTGAGGGCCGTGTGCCGGGCGAAGTGTCGCCGCAGGTCCGAGCGGTAGCGGAAGCTCTTGCCACATTCACTGCAGTGAAAGGGCACCCGGGGGGCGGCGGCGGCGGGCGGCGCGGGCACAGGGGCGGGCGGGGGCGCCGGGGGCGCGGGCAGCAGGGCTTCGTCCATGGTGCGCGCTGCAGTGGTGGGCGGGCTCTTTCTGGAGCAGAAGCAAACACAAGACGGTGAGGAGGACAAAGACCTCCCGCCGCTGAGCTAGGCCCAAGGTCCCAGGCCACACCCCGGAGTGTTTAAACTCCTCTCTCTGTACTGGAGATTGACTTGGGGGTGCTTTGCCACTGAGGTACTTTTTCAGCTTTTTATTTTATTTTGAGACATGGTCTTATTACATTGCCCAGCCTGGCCTTGACTTTGCGATCCTCCTGCTTCAGCCTCCCCAGTAGCTGGGTGTCTAGGCATACGCCCAGCCAAATTCCTTCCTGTAATTCACTCCCCGCCAGCCTCTCTGCCACCGCCTCACGGTTCCGCCTCGCCGGCTCCTCCCCGAGCCCCGCCCACTCGAGCCGAGGCACCTCCCTCAGGGGCCCGAGCAACCTGCACTGGAGAGGTGTGCCCTCTCCTCTAAATCGCCTCCTGCTGGTCTTTAAAGGTGACCACTCGGAGGGAGGACAAGCATCTGGGGCTAAGCACACTGGCGTCACGCTTCCACTGCCGCATCAGGGAAGCCGGGAGCAGCCATGCCCCCCGCCCCCCCACTGCCGCCTTCATGGTCCTCCTGGCCCCTCCTGGCCCCTCCTTTGCCCCGCATGGGTCCAGGCTGTGCGCTGAGCCCTGCCTCCACCTCCCACCCATCTGTCCTTCAAATAAGCCCGGTCTCTGCACGAGCCCTTGACCCCCATTCCGGTCGCTTTCCGCCCTTTCATACAACGGCCTCACTAAAACTCTCCATGACCCCCCTAGCCAGCCCCCAGAATGCCCACAGGCCGCTAACTCACACGCCAAACTTCACCCCTTCCGCTCCAATCTCCCCACTAAGCCTCAAGGTGGCTCCCTCCACTTTACAACCTAGGCCCCACCCACCACCCTCTTAACCACGCCCACTCGCAAAGCCCCACCCCACAGACCCCTCCCACTTTGCGCAGGACCCCGCCCACTAGGCACCCCCCCCCCCGCAAAAGCGCTTCCCAGACCAGGCCCCGCCCCCTCCTGCACCAGGCCGCCTGCAGAGCGTCCCCCCCCACAGCCCAGTCCGCGCGAGGACCCAGGCCCGAAGCCAGCCTTTTGTGCCCCTCCCCCTTCCGTAAAGGTGTAGCCCCGGCTCCCCGGCGCAGGGGCAGGTCGGGAGGGCTGGGGCCGGGCGAGCCCGTCTCGCTCCTGCGGAGTAGAGAGCCTGGAGACCTGGTGCGGCCCGAGAGGCCGGGGATGTCAGGCGGCTTTCCTCTTTAATTACTTACACCTCCCTCTGGGCGCCGACATTTTGGGCAGCGGGGGTAGCGTCACTTCCACCCGGGAGGCCTCTCGACTTCCGCCTCGGCTCACTCCCGCCCCTACCCCCTCCCCCTGCGCTCCCCCTTTCCACTCCTCCCTTCTCTCTCTTTCCCTTCGCTTTCCCAGCCCTGGAGGTGAGAGAAGCCAGGTTGGCGCCATTTTGGGTGAGGGCAAGGGGCGGTGCTTAGGGTCATCTTGGCGCCTTGCAGACTAAGGCATCGATCTGTGCGCCCGGTGCTCGCCTGCTGATCCCCTTTTCTCAGCTTCGCACTCTTCCTGGGTAGGACGTCAAGCTGCCTCAGGAGATAAGAGAGTAATCGAAGTGCACGAATTGCGATTCTGGGACAGAAAAGACCAGGCACCATCTTACACAATTAGCGCCCGGGGGACTTCGAAGCTATCGTGCGCCATGTCAGTTACGGGCACTGAGCAGCCATTTCCCATTCGTCATCTAGCCTATATCTGTCTGATTGAGTCTCCCGTTTGGGTGCTTCGTAGGAGAAAAGGCGTTTCTATGTGACTGGGGATATCGTGGTGGGTTTTTTCCCCCGAGGAGCAAACGAGGACGACTGGTGCGCAGGCGCCTGGGCCTACACCGACGCAACCAGGCCCTAGGACCCAGAGCATCCCCTTTGTTCCCCGCAGGCGGCAGGGGGCGGGGCCCCAGCTTCCGCTCCGAGGGGCG